GTCAGGCAATGGGATATCTCATCTATGGCAGAGCCAAACTGACTTTGGTTTGCTGGTTCTTATCTCTGTATTTCTAGCTGAGACATTCCAGCAGTGAGTGGCTCTCAGGGTGCTTGGCTGATGGGTGGCTATGCTAGTTGTGAGGAACCAGCCTTCAGGGATCAACCTGATGGACTCAACCTCTAGTGAATGCAGCTCAAACTGCTGTGCTGTTCAGCTGCATAGCTAACACAGAGGCAAAATAAAGCCCTGCTTGAGGCACAATTCTCTCTTTAATGATACTCCTCTCTTTACTGCTCACCTCTGGAATTTTGACTGTGCTGTGATTTCTGTTTTCCTTTTTAAACACAGAAAATGCATTAGAAAGAAAACTTTCACATGGTTGTAAACAGAATGCATCCCAGGAGTGATACCTCCAGTATATTTCTACTTTTAGTCATCTTGAGTTACACAGAGAGGATGCCACAGTCAGTGACTCCGCAACATTACAACATGCACTTAATCTTAATAAGAAGGGAGAGGCTGTGGCTAACAGGTTGTTTTTCATCTCATTTAATTTCTAAACAAACTGATAACCAGTTCTGAATCACAAGTTTGGAAAAGAACTTGGTGCTTTTGTCAGGCCCAGTATTGTTTACAGGAACATTTTTGTTTCCCTATGGGGAGAGAGTGACCCTCAGACACTGAAATAAACCAGAATCCAAACAAAAAAACCATGCTATCTCATTTTATTTCTAATTTATAACTCAGATCAGGATTGTCGAAAAGGTTAATTTAGTTTATGTAGAGTTCAGGTAGGCTTTGGAAGAGTATTGACTGATTTCTCAGTGTATCCTCGGAGTGGGTGGGTTTTGTATCATTTCATACAGAACCAGCCTGAAGGTTTGTATTTGGCACTGTGGCTTGGCCACTTGAGTCCAGAATTCCCAGGCAGTCTGTGAAGGAGTGTTTCCTCAAATTTTTATTTATTTATTCTCCCCTAAAGCCTGAGTCCTGCCAGGACACTACACTTGGACTTTTGGTTCCAAAAATAGAGTATTCTGGCATCTTTCCTGTTTCTAAAATAAAAGTCTCCTAGAGAAACTGCTGCTCAGGGTGATAAAGTCCAGGTGGTAAGTCAGCTTCATCAGAGGCCCAACTTAAATGCTTCTGTGCAAACACACATAGCATGGGGAGTAAACAAGAGGAGTTAAGAGACGTGCACATGACTGCAGAGCTACGATCTTATTGGCATCACGGAGACATGGTGGGATGACTCCTATGAGTGGAGTGCTGGAATGGAAGCAGACAGGCCCCTCAGGAAGGACAGACAGGGGACACAAGGAGGGGTGTCACCCTCCATGTCAGTGACCAGCTGCAGTGCCTGGAGCTCTGCCTGGGGATGGATGAGGAGCTGACCAGGAGCTTCTGGGTCAGGAACAGAGGGAAGGCAGGGACAGGAGACGTTATAGTGGGGGTCTGCTACAGGCCCCCGGCCAGGAAGACTGAGTGGATGAGGCCCTCTATAGATAGACAGGAGCAGCCTCACGTTCACGAGCCCTGGTTCTCATGGGGGATTTCAACCACCCTGATATCTGTTGGAGGGACACAGAGCAGGGCACAAGCAATCCAGGAGGTTCCTGGAATATGTTGAAGATAACTTCCTTGTCCAAGTGATAGAGGAGCCAACAAGGAGAGGTGCTATGCTGGACCTTGTCCTCACCAACAAGGAGGGGCTGGTGGGGAGTGTGAAGCTCAAGGGCAGCCTTGACTGCAGTGACCATGAAATGGTGAGTTCAACATCCTTAGGGCAGTGAGGAGGGTGCACAGCAAGCTCGCTACCCTGGACTTCAGGAGAGCAGACTTTGGCCTCTTCGGGGATCTGCTTGGCAGAGGACCATGGGATAAAGCCCCAGAGGGAAGAGGGGCCCAAAAAAGCTGGTTAATATTCAAGGATCACCTCCTCCAAGCTCAGGAATGATGCATCCCAACAAAGTGGCAGTCAGGTAAGAACACCAGGAGGCCGGCATGGATGAACAAGGAGATCCTGAACAAGCTCAAACACAAAAAGGAAGCCTACAGAGGGTGGAAGCAAGGACAGGTAGCCTGGGAGGAATACAGAGAGACTGTCTGAATGGCCAGGGATCAGGTTAGGAAAGTCAAAGCCCTGATAGAATTAAATCTTGGCCTAGGGACATCAAGGGCAATTTTAAAAAGCTCCTATAGGTACTTTGGTGATGAAAGGAAGACTAGGGAAAATGTGGACCCTCTCTTGCCTCAGTCTTCACTGACAAGTGCTCCAGCCACACCACCCAAGATGCAAAATGTGAAGGCAGGGACAGGGGGAGTGAAGAACCACCCACTGTAGGAGAAGGTCAGGTTCGAGACCATCCAAGGAACCTGAAGGTGCACAAGTCCATGGGACCTGATGAGATGCATCTGCAGGTCCTGAGGGAACTGGTGGATGAAGTGGCTGAGCCACTATCCATTTTATTTGAGGAGTCATGGCTGTCCAGTGAAGTTACCACTGACTGGAAAAGGGGAAACACAACTCCCATTTTTAAAAAGGGAAAAAAGGAAGACCTGGGGAACTACAGGCCAGTCAGTCTCACCTCTGTGCCTGGTAAGATCATGGAGTAGATCCTCCTGGAAACTAGGCTAGGGCACATGGAAAATAAGGATGTGATTGGTGACAGCCAACATGGCTTCATGTGGTAGTTTGAACCCAGTTGGCAGCCAAACACCAGGCAGCTTCTCACTCACTCTCCCCCTGCCCAGGGGATGGGAAAAACATTGCGGGGCTAAAGGGAGACTTGTAGATTAAGATAAAACCAGTTAAATAATTGTAATAAAATAAAACAATAACGATAATAGAAAGTACAAACACGTAATGCACAATGTGATTGCTCACCACCTGCCAACTGACATCCAGCCCATTCCTGGCTAGAAATCCTGAAAAACCAAGATCCCCCAGTCACAATCCCAGAAGTGAGAGACAACCCCCTCCTTCCTGGCCAACCCTCCTTTATACACTGAGCATGATGTTACATGATATGGAGTATTTCAGTGGCTGATGTGGGTCCGGTGCTCTGGCCGTGCTCCCTCCCAGCTTCTTGTACACGGGCAGGACATGGGGAGTTGGAGAGTCCTTGATCTCTTAGCAACAACTGAAAACATCAGTGTATTATCAGCATTCTTCTCATATCAAATCCCAGACTGAATCCAAAAGACAGCACTGTTCTAGCTACTAAGAAGAGTAATTAACTCTATCCCACCCCAAAACAGGGCACTTCACTAAGGGCAAATTGTGCCTGACAAATTTAGTGGATTTTTTAATGGGATTTCAGTGCTGGTAGTTAAGGGAAGAGCAACTGACATCATCTATCTGGATTTGTGGAAAGCAATCAATGCTGTCTCGCATGACATCCTTGTCTCTAAATTGGGGACACATGGATTTGTCAGATGGACCATTCAGTGGATAAGGAACTGGCTGGATGGTCGCACTCAAAGAGTTGCAGTCAACAGCTCGATGTCCAAGTGGAAACCAGCAAGGAGTGGCGTTCCTCATGGGTCAGTGTTGGGACTGATGTTTAAAATACAATCTGGTATTACCTTCCTACTTCTCAGAGGCTGTCCCACACTCCTGGTGTACCTCTTAGTTGTGGCTAGATCAAGCCATGCCAGGTAGCGCTTTACTCCACAAAAAGTCCCACTCACTGAGGACAGAAAGCGTGTTTGCCACAGTGTGGATCTGAAAGAGCCATGGAACAGAGCACTTGGAAAGAGCAATTAAGCTGTCAGTCAGCCACTGTCCCCTTGTCCCTGCACACGGAGCGTGCTTCGGCCAGTGTCCTCCTGCGTGTCCTCGGGGGGTGCCTGGGGAAGGTCACTTCGGGGGGGGAGTGCAGGGGAGCGCTTCAGGAAAGGTCTTTATGTCGTTGCTCGTTAAATTCCTCCCCTGGCGATGGCGTTGCTTTTACGACCTGCCCTTTCTGTG